ACACCCTAAACCCTACACCCTAAACCTTACACCCCAAACCCTAAACCCTAGTCCCTAAGCCCTAAACCCTAAACCCTGAAGCATGCATCTGGCAGGCTGGCTAACTGGAATTCCTTTTTGGAGGATTTTGTTGATGTCCTCGTCAACACTCTGGAGCTCCTTCCTGTACTTTGCAGGGACAGGAGGCGGTGTTGCTGCTGCTGCTGCTGCTTCTGCTGCTGCTGCCTTTTTGTTGCGGAGCGAAGCCGCTCGCCGGGGCCGCGCAGCTGGGGGGCCCCCCATGCAGGGAGAGGGGGCCCCCTCATCCCCCTCTGCATCTTCAGACATAAGAGAAATTACAGAAGAGCTGGAGTACCTTTTGTTGCGGCAGCAGCCCTCTGGGGCCCCTGGAGGGGCCCCCGGGGTGGCCCCCTCTGGGGCCCCCTGGGGGCCCCCCTCGGGGGCCCCTGGAGGGGCCCCCTGGGGCGCTTCCGGGGGCTCTTTGTCTGGGGTTTGGGCCGCTTCGCCGCATGGGGGGCCCCCCTTGAGGGGGCCCCCCGGGGGGCCCTCCGGGGGGCCCCCCGCGTTGGCAGTGCTGCCGTCGTTCTCGTTAGAAGGAAAAGACTCGTTTGCTGCTGGGGCAAATGGGTGGCCTGCTGCAGCGGCCGCGGGCTGCGAGGCGCGGGCGGGGGGCTCTCGAAGTGTGGTGGCCCCCCTCATGGCCTGTGGGGCTGCTGCGGAAAAAAAGGAAAAATAATGCAAAGAGTCTTAAGTTTGAAGACTCTGAGGCGCTGTGGGGGAGAAGAGGCACATAATCGAGGTGGCGAGGGAGGGAAGAGGGTTTGGGGGAAGCCCGGGGGTTTGGCGAGGCAGCAGCAGCGGGAAGCAGCAGCACAGCGGGCAAATGAAGACGCTGCATTAACTAAGGCCTTTATACTAGAAAAATGACGCCGTTATATTTTATTCAACAACTATACTAGACCCAAACTCTGGGGGGGTGTTGATGGGGCTCTCCGATGGTTCACACGAAACCCCACCACCACCGCTGCTTGCGCGCAACGACAACCCTATTAACTGCCTTAAACTAAATCCAAAAACATTTATTTATTTCCTTTTTCGCTTCATTCCACTCAAACTCGACGTAGTATTAATGTAAGCTGCAAGTCCCGGCGGAAAGCCTAGTGGACGCAGCAAATGTGTCTTCTCCGAGACAACCCCGTCCGCCCCAGCGAGCAACTCTTACTAATTTTTATTTCAATTACTCTAATATACTTTCTTTTCAATGTTGTGGGAAATAAATATCTTTATTTTGCTTCAATTGTGTCAGGAAAACCAGACGCTTCTACCGAGGCCAATGCGACTCTTCGCTGCGAAAGTTGAACTTAACGGGTGTAACTCGCGAACATTTTGGCTCTATGGGGTCTACTGAAGGCGTTCAAACGAGCATTAGAAGGCGTTCTACCGCTATTTATGGTCTTAAAAATAAATAAATAAGCTGTAATAAGTAAATGCAATACTTAATGGGGTCGAATGGGCCAAAAAACAGCATCTGTATCTCCCTTCCCAACCAAGAGCAGCCCAGCAATGCAGAGAAACGCAGTGCATTTGGGTAGTTTGGTCTTCAGGGTTATCCCTAGGCATTTTTAAATAATTAGTTCGGACTTAAACAAAGATGGAGTCGCTTCAAACTTGCTGAAAATAAAGCCCTGCAGCATGCCGCACTGCTTGGTTGTTCCGCACGGCCTGCGGTCATTGCCTGGGGTGGGGCCCCAGGGTCTTCATTTCTCGCAGCGTGTGTTTGCACTTAAACAATTAAAAAGACAATGTTGGCATTCGCGTCCGTGCAAGCTGGAGCTCCAGCTCTTCCTTTTCAATGTCCTCCGAGGGAAATGTCTGGAGCCGCAGGACAGGCAAAGGACACAGAAAGCTGATCCCTGAAGCCCAAAACCTCTATAAACAAGCTTAAAAAGTTTCTCAGATACATCCTTTGCACTTTGCCTGTGGAAAGTGTTCCTAAACTTGGCTGTTCGTGGAACTTATCGTTTCATTTGACCTACGGGTCGCACCAGTGTATTGGCCACAGCGAAGAGCATGAAGCCAGCGACGGAAACCCACAGAATCATTTCAAATCCAAATCTGCGGAAAAAAACAAAGAAGTGGCGGGCTTTACATAATAATAAAGAACTTGTTCTACTTGTTCTGCGTGAGGCCCCCGCCGTCGTATCTTCACTGTCACTTTCGAGTTACGTCGACCATTATAGCTCTTGAGAGGATTAAGTAAATAGAAACGATTAAGCAAAACAACAAAAGTCATTATACTTAGAAAATGCAGGCTAACCTCAGTGCAAGCTCTTTGCCGCCTGCTGGATGGCACCAGTCTATAAAATCCATGACCACGCCGGAGAGCAGCGGCGCACTAAACCAGCCAAACATGTTGTACCTGAGAATAATTGAAGAGCATTACTCAGCAACTTGGATGCAGACTAAAAATGCCTATAAAAGGGTGCGCATGCAGCTATAAAGTCTCGAAGAGCGCAGCCATCTAAGCGCCGTTACATACTGCAAAAGTGTGCTGTCACAGGTAGGAAGGGCGCGTGATCAGCATAATAATGGAGGCTTAAAAGTGCTTTATGATTCTTCTGTGTAAAATAAAGACAAATACTCACGCGAATTGACTTAGAGCAGATGAAATGCTGCGCTGGTGGAAGGGAACGCTCGCCAGCTGGATGCCAACGGCGACTGGCACTAAGGCTGCTCCGAAGAAGAGGCAACCCCAAAGCAAAAGTGCAAACAGAATAAAGGACTCAACGTAGATGCAGGTCACAGCTAAAGTTGCTCCGATTCCTGGAAACAGAGCCAAAACAGACGCACATGGGGATATCTGAAACACATGGTGCACGTATGTATACGTATTCTCTTATAGTGACGGGGATGTGCACGACTGGCCGCAGGCGACTTGGCTCTCCCGACCCACAGAAGCTGCACTGAGTTGAAACATCTGCAAATTCTCACCTGCAAAAAGAGTTGTGACCCTCACAGCCACTCGCTGCTGACCGCCTCCCCGGTAGCCTCCACAAAGGTCGCAAACATAACCGCCAAACCAAACGCTGCAGCGCAGAGAAGATTAAACAGGAGCCTAGTTTGTCTTGTTTGCGAAATATTGGCTCATATAAGTTCGATTAATTGCGTAATAAAAGCCAAAACTGAGGAGCTGCAGCGGTGGAAATCTCTAAGGGAATGCACTACGGGCATACCCTGAAGTTGGAGCGGTAAGGAAGCAGAAGGTGCTCAGAGCGACAACGGATAGTTTTTGGAAGTGAAGAACAGAAACCAAAAACTCTGTCACCCAAAACTGGATGCCTAAAGGGACAAAAGACAGAGAAACGCAATATGCACATCATTCTTTCGAATGCGAAGCCAACAAGCTGCAAAACAACCAGCCAAGGCATGCTCAAGCCACATTTTACGGATTAATTTGGGCTTGCAGATCGAAAACACACTTTTTAATGAACGTTAATTTATGTTTGTGGGTTCTGAGAATTGAGATAATGCAATTAACTCTGCAGCGACAGGCTTAGTCTGTTGCCACACCAGTAACTACGAAGTATAAGGCACTCATGCCCATGGTGACGACGACATAAAGGGGATTTCTGAGCAGCGACTTCACTTCAGTCCATGCGGAGAAGAAGTTGTGCATGCAAGATTGCCCGGAGGCGTCCGTTTCTCCAATGGTACTAAGGCCAGTCCTAAGAAACCAGAGAAACGCATTCATCTTTGCTGCTGCATCCCAAGGCTCCTGGCTGCTCAGCGACACACCATTTGCTGCACAGCCGTGGCTTACCTCTGTCTCTCCGGCCTGGCTTGGCTTCTGTCCGGCAAATTCACAAGGGTAGCCGGCAATGCCGCAATTAGCAGCACAACTGGGACAAGCGCCACCGACTGCAGCAAATGAAAGCGCAAGTTGACGATCCTTGTTTATACGCGGTGATGCTTGAGCTCGCTGCACCTGTGTCAGCTTAAAGTCTTTTCAAATCAAACCAGGTCTCTAGGTCGAGAATTGGCGCGCAAGATATCCAAACTAACTTGAACAAAGAAAGGCGTGCGCCATCCACTCTCGCCCGTCGCCGCCGTGAAGCGCGACAGAACTCCCCCAATGAAGTAGCCACTGACAGTTCCTGAGAAAACAATAAAGTAATGCAATTACTGGCGTAAATGATAGGGATTATAGTCAGCGTGGCCATCACACTCACAGTTTTGTTTTCTGCCCGATTACAAAACCTTGCAACTCATATTTTGAATATCATTCACTTTGACACGAAGGCAGCAGGATTGCTCGCGAATCATATTTTCATTATTTATTGCTTTGCGCAAGTGCCTATGGATGTGTCCACGGATAAGGCTTTGAGTCTAAACCCAATTACCTCCAATGCCGGCCAGCTGCGTGTAAGACATCCAGCGCGTCACTTGGCCGTCAGGGGCGTAGTCATCGACCCAAACCGGTAAATAAACCACAGGAACAGCCTGAAAATAGATGCACAAGTACATAACTAGTTTTTCGTTCAAAAGTTTGCATTTATTTCATAGTGAGTGCCTGCCGTGTGCCCGAAATGCCTCCATTCCGTCTCGGTACTTCTCTGAGAGCAGTGGGAAGGCTACAGACTGAGCACTTCTACTCCAAACTGCATTCAAAAGAAAAGCATTTTAGGAGGTTTGTCGTTAACAGGTCTTGGTGAAGTGTACCTGGCAGAGGCCGGTTATGAACCTCGTGAAGTACATCAGCAACAGGCTGTTTGAGCTGGAGAAGAAGAAAAGAGAAGATGCAAGGCAGAGCAAACTTCCCACGAGAAGCCACTTCGCTCCATAGCTTTGCAAAGCAATACCTGAGGGCACAAGTAAAGAAGAAAGCAGGTGAAGTTCGCAGCGCACTTCGCCACTAAATCTACACGGCAGCACTTGATTAAAAGTGACAAATGCTTAGAATACAGATTTAGGGGAATATAATATTGTTTGTTTCCACTCATGGAAGTGCACTAAGTGACCTGGCGGCCCTACCCGCGAACAAGCTGCCGATGATGAGCCCGAAATAGACAAGGGAGCCGAAAAGGCTCTGTTCCACGAATTTGATTTGGTTGTTGAAGTTCTTTTGAATTTCGCTGAGAATTGCAGGAATGACTCCGTGGTCGAAGTTGCAAAGAAAAGATACCAAGATGACGGAAACCAAAACCATTTTCAAAGTGGACTTGCGGCGGTTTCGCCGGTACGCCGCAGCCCCAGGCTCATCCCGCTCAGCCCCGAAAGCCACAGAAGAGCCTCCAGGGGGGGGGCCCGAGGCGTGCGATCTTGCGGGAATATACTGGTTTCCGGCTTCTTGAACGCCTCCACTGTATCCGTGGCCTCCTATGTCACTAGCTGTGGCCAAAAACAAACAAAATTGCATTTAAAATGGTCAAAAAACATCAGAAAATGAAGCTGGGAAGCGCTACTGAGGGCTCTGGCCCCGCAGGCTAAGAACAAGGGCGGGAGGCGCGTACAGGTTTGCTGAGGGACCTGCTGGTAGCCTGAGCCCATGTTCATAAGACTTGGGGACCTTTGGGTCCGCGTGTGAGGCAGCTGCTGCTGCTGCTGCTGCTGCAGCAGCAGCTGCTGCAGCGCCGCCTGGTTGCTCGATGGGTGTGCCATTTTCTAGGGGACCGGAGCAGCAGCTCGAGGGTCCGTTCAATAAGATGCTATAGAATAGTGCCTGAGTTTCCCCTGATTGTCATGGGGCACGGGCTCCAAGCTGAACGTGCTGGCGAAATGCTGAACCCTTGTCTTCGCTGCTTAGTGGCTGCTGCGTGCAGCTGCAGAGAAGCACAGTCAGCAAGATTGCAACAGACTTTCAAATGTTAAGGGCCCTTGTTTTCGGGCCAGGGGAGCTTTCTGAGGCCCCCTGCCCGACCCACTGTGTGGTGCCCAGCCACAGACCGCTGCCGACGCCCCGGCCAGTCCGTGGTGAAGAAGGCTGAGCCCTGTCTCTGCTGGCTTGCCTTCCAGTATAGAGTGGGTTTGCTTCTGCGGTTGTTAGTGGTCTGCCAGTGGAATTTGTGGTGCTTTTCGCCGCTGCAGCCGTTGCCCGTTGTCATGAAGCCCCCAACAGGGCGTGGCGGCGAGGACACGGTATTGGCCCCAGATGATGCTCAACCCGAGTGTCTATTGCGCAAATTCAAGTAGCAAAATCAAAGAAATACTGTAAGTTTCCTTCAGCGCCCCGTTCAAGGCAATGCGTACACATACGGTGTACTGGTGTTGGTCAGTGAGCTGCTGCTGCAGCCGGAGAGCTGCAGCAGCAGCAAACTGGGGCCAAAGCCGGAAGGCCACGAGAAAGCAGCGAAGCCTTTGAAATTTCAAACAGAAGAAGCATAAAAGAAGGCAAGGCAGAGTGGGACACACGCAAGAGGCCTGGAGCCCCCGCAGCGGTCGGCAGCACCGCCGCTCTTGGCAGCAGTGAGAGGGCCGGCCCACTTTGGCACATGCGTGCAGTTCTCCTCATTCCAAAGAAACAGGACATATTCAGTCTTTCTTTGTTCTTCTTCTAATGCATACGTCTAATGTTACCTAATGACGCGTGGGGATACCCACACACGCGAAGTGCAGCTGCGGGATGTGTAAGCACGACCTGGTTGAGCCGTCGGCAGCCCACTCGACTAAAGAGAACTAAACGAAGGACTGTTGCCACTAAATCACCCAAATAATATTTTGAGCCTTTCAAAATAATAGTTGAAGACTTAAACGATACGAGGAACACACGAAGATCTCTCGTGAGGCTCCCTCGAAAAGCAACAGCTTCGACACACCGTAAATAACAAAGAGCTGCCGGCGGAAACTCGCGCCGTAATGAAATAAATATTATCCAGCATTACATATTTCCCTCTCTGAAGCTGTTTGCAAAAAGCACGCAGTGCCAGCAACGAGGTGTTCTGCGTTTACTTTCCACAGCAGGCCGAGAACTTGCATGAGTAGACTCTACGGAAATATCCTTAATGAAAGAGTAAAAGAAAACTCAGCATGATGAGCCAATGCTTATTTTTGTCTTTTCGTTGAACTCTGCGTGACAACCCGCTCCTGTCAGCACTTTATTCCAGTAGAATAACCTTTCAGTGGCGGACTCACTTTCTCGAGGAAGCGTTTTAGAGCTTCAATCTCAAGTTTCAGGAACTCATTGTCAGGTGTTTCCCTTATAGCTCTTCCCAACTTTTAAATTGGCATAACTGTTCTAGTTATCCGGCCAATTATCTAAGGCTAGCCAGTTCCCATTCCCACCATGCTAAAGGATGTTAAGAGGCCCATACCGGGACATGGCGGGATCTGTAGAGGCTGAGACTCCCTAAGCTCCCTCTCTACTCTGATCTTCACTGTTATATCCTTTTTTTTATTTGTTTGGTATGATTTTGTCCGGCAGTTTCTTCACGGCCAGCTGTTCCCTTTCCTTTTGTAAGCTCTTCAGCTCCTGCCGAAGGTGGGCAACCTCATACTTTTCTCGCGCGGTTTTGTCTGTAGTTGTGCTGTGCAAAGAACTATTTCAACATTTTGTATTTAATTTGATTGGGGGAAGTTCTAAAGTGCTTACGTGTCCCTTTAGCTCTTCTGATAGGCGTATTGTGCTATGCCTGGGGAGAAGGCTCCTCAGTGTGGAGGTCTGAGCTCATGATTCTTCTCATGCACTTTTAAAAATGCTGAACTTCCCGGTTAAGAATAAGTCGAAAGGGCCAGGGCTTGTGGAAAATCGCAGTTAGATCTCGTGATCTACTGACCCCTCCAGAAATAGATTCCTCGTGAAGCCAGTAATTTAAGTAGTTCATCGACAGTTCTTGAAGATCGGCTAACACGTTTCATTTGAAGCTGAGCTAAACGTGTATTACGAGCGAATTAGCCTTGTAAAAAGTATCCGTGTTTTGTGTGAACGAATTCAAAGGGAATTCAAAACCTCTGCCTTCAAATATTGGATGCGAAATAGGTGCATCTGGCGTACATATCAGACAATGTATTAAACATTTTACCTTCCAATAGTGCTGAACAAAAGTATATGCAGAACGCTGCTTTAGATGTTCTGATTAACTGGGTTTTTTGGGGTCTGACGGATACTTTCAGGATTAGTTGCAGATCTCCAGGAGAAGCAACAAAGTCTGTTTTCATTGTACGCCTCGAAACAACTTTGAAAGCATGCACACTCATTTAGAGCTTTTTGGGTCCTCACAGCAGTAGTCATAGCGAGCAACATGCCCTAAATCAGCGGGGAGGCAGCACTTAACTCCTTTCCCAGCAGTTTATTTTCTAAAATATTTCAAAAAGTAGCATCTTCAGGGCTTCTTACATGGACACTGTGAAGTTCGCGTGTTAGCTGGCCGTTTGCGAATCAAGTGCCTGCTATTCCTGCAGGTGAAAACACTGTCATAATTACGAGCATTATATTCTATTGATTTCGGGAAGCCGAGCTCAGCCTAGAGATAGCGGCCAGTGGCAACATTGACTTTCGGACAAAACGGTTTACTTTGGCTGAATGGGACCTTTCGGGAACACTTGAAGTTGCAGGTGGAATCGGGCTTTACACCTAAAGCTGATGGCCCGTTTGGCACTACGCAGCAGTGTCGAATGGTACTCTTTTTCGTTCACCTTTTTCGCGTTTTCCATCGTATGCCATTATTGTACGTCTTAGCCAATAGCCTAAACAGGAGAGATTTTGCTGTGGCCAACTGTGTTGAGGTTTAAGGCTGCAAAGGAGAACGCTAGAGCTAAATACGATTCGAAGGTCCACACAAAACGGGAATTTGCGTAAATACGCAAGGAACAATATTTCCTATTCTGAGGCAAAGCAGTAAAATATTTTCTTGCTTTTGAGGCATTCTATTATAAACCAGTGTTGGCTGGCCTCTCTAGCCACAGTAACCTGGCTTAGTCTAGGAGTGTTGAGCTAGGAGAGCCACCCTACGCCAGTAAGTTATCTTGCACTAATTCAAAACGCATTTCAGCTTATGAAATGGACTAGGGTCTTGATCTATAAGCAAATTTTTTCATTGCAGTTATTTTCCATCTTGCACTAATTTAGCTAGCCGGCTACCATTTTGCTTCCTACAAAACTTTAGTTCCAAACCTCCAGTCCAGAACAAAAGCCAGGCATTGTACAGCAGCATTTGTTTCTTGTGAATGACAATTTTAGCGAAAATCCTAGACTAATTTCAAAATGAATGTAAAATGTTTGCGTGTGTAATCCGCAACTTGGCGATTTGCGGCAAAGTGCCCCAGTACACAGTGAGGATTCTACATAGTGATTGTGCTGGCTTAGCTTTGTCAGAAAGTAATTAAGACCCTCCATGGCCACGGAGGGGTAAAGCCGCTCTAGTGGAACACTGCACAGTTAAAAAGGCCAGAACCAATATATATAAACTTGTTGCGGGCTTTTGCTAGAGTGTAAATGCCCCTACTCAGCAAAACTTGTTCCGCGCCAAACTAGCTGCTGGACACAGAATGGCTGCTGTTGATGGAAAGAGCATCATCTCCCGGAAACCCCAATAGTCGTTATTGTTTTTCCCTTTCACACATGTATAAAGGGCTAATCCCGTCCCAAGAAAGATAGTTTTGTTCTCGCTGTTTCTTTGGCTACCGGTGTGCTGCGGCACCTGCACGTTGTGCTGCGTAGGGCCTGTGAAGCTCACTCTAGACTAAGCAGCACACTAGCCCGCATAGCTTTACGCAAACTTCAATAAATGCATAGCAGCTGCTCTTGTGGGCCCAGCAGTGCCCAGCTACTAACATCATTGTTGCATGTTCCGTTGGGTGTAAGTGGCAGAGCCCGGCGCAGAGGCCATTCTTCTAAATTTCCCGGAATCCATGCCAAAAATGAATTTGATCCAGAATTGAAACAGAGAAGTAGACGTGTTACTGCCTGGTTTTGCTCCTTTAATTAGCGTGCTCAGTAGCTTGAGCGCCTACTGCGTGTGGGGCTGGCCCAGGGACTGGAAGAGGCCTCAGCCTCGGAGCTCCAGAGGTTCCCTTTGAGCGTAGTTATGCCTCCGTCCTTGCAGCAGTGATGAATTTAGTTTCGGAGCATTCAAAGTTTGTAAGAGTAAGGTCTTAGCTACTGTAGACCTCACAGCAGTTGTCCCCCGCAGCGGCCCCCCCACACGGGGCCATCGAGTTGTGGGTATTCCTCCCAATCTAAACTTCCCGTCTTCTTGCAGACTTTTCTTGTTTTTCCTTTCATATATTTTGGGCCAGAAAGCTGCGCGTGAGGAGCCAGGAGTCCCCCCGGCGTGTGCCTGAAAGCTGTGGTTTTGTGCAGCTGGGATCCTTGGGTGTCGTCCTTCCGTTTGAATTTTTCCTCCTTTTGTTTTTCTTGAAGGCCCGCCTTTACGCGCACATTACTGAGGGCATTTATGTCTCTTGTAGCAATTGGAGTTGTCGGTTGAGGGGCTTTTGGCGAGGAGTTTCCCAAAATGTCGAGCGAGGTGTTCCTGCTGTTCGAGGCGGCGCCGGGGCTGCTGCTGCTGCGCGTGAAGGAGTGGGACAGCATTGCGCAGGACACTGACGCAGTGCAGGAGGCGTGTGGAGACGCGCAGCGTTTCAAACAGTTGGTGTCTTGCGAAGCCTTTTACCCCTTTACAGACGCAGCAGAGGCTCTCGAGACGCTGGTGGGGGTGGCGGGGGGCACTGTGCCTCCGTGCATGCAGAAGTTTCTCGAGCTGCACATGCCTGCTGCTGTGCGGGGGGCCGGGGGCGGCAAGAAGAAGAAAGCAGCTGCAGCGGGGGGTGCTGGGGAGTGCTGCTTGGGGGTTTGCGATCCCGCTCTCGGGAAGTCTCTCGGAGATCTCGGATTCAACATCTTGTACAACCCCACGATGCTGGAGCTGCACAGGGGAGTGCGCATGCACCTGCAGGCGCTGGCGAAGCCCCTCAAGTCTTTGCCGCTCACCAAGTTTCAAGTCGGGCTGGGCCACAGCTACAGCCGCGAGCTCATGCAAGTGGACCCCCGCAAGCAAGACAAGCCCATTATGCAGTCCATTGCCCTTATTGACTCGCTAGATAAAACTATTAACACTTTTGCAATGAAACTCAAGGAGTGGTACGGCTGGCACTTCCCAGAACTCGTCAAGATCGTCCCGGACACCGAGGCCTACTGCAAAGTCGTCTTGGTGGTCAAGCAGAAAGAAGAATTCAACCAAGAGGTAACGCCCTGCTGCTGCTGCTGCTGATGATGATGATGATGATTCAGATGCGGCAGCAGCAGGCACAGGAATGCCCCTGGGGGGCTGGCTGGGTCTTTGACCGCAGCTGCAGCGCCAGTTCCTGCTGCTGCTGCTGCTGCTGCTGGTTCAAGGAAATTGCACCAGCCTGCATGCATGCGTGCAAAGAAGCTGTTGGGGCTGAAGTGCATGCACTTGTTTGCCTGCCAGGAGGGCGGGGAGGAACTGCTGGCTGCTGTGGGCAACAGCGAGGAAGTGGCAGCAGAAGTTGTGGCCTCCATGAAACACTCGATGGGCCAGGAAATATCTGCAGAGGATTTCGCAAACATCGAAAGATTTGCACAACAGGTAAACCGAGACTACCTCGCGGTCTGCTGCTGCAGCCAGCTCCTCCAGCAGCAATAGCAGCACTGCAGCAGCTGCAATCGGAAACTTTATTGCAGCAGCAGCAGCAGCAGAAGGATGAAGTGTCAGATTAGTGTTCCTGCGCGCCTTCCATGGCTTTCTTTTGCTGGGGATCTTGGTGCTTGCGCACACCGTTGTTTCCCATAGATAAATTCGGATAGTTTTTTCTTTTGATGTTTAATTATATTTCTTTTATTGTTGAAAGTGGAAACCTTGCTTTCCTGCGCGTTCGCTGCAGGTGCTGCGGCTGTGCGAGCAGCGGCGGTCGCTGCAGGAGTACCTGAGCAGCAAAATGGATGTGGTGTCGCCCAATTTGAAGGCAGTTGTGGGCGAAGTGTTGGGGGCTCGGCTTATATCGCATGCAGGGGCTTTAGTGTCGCTCGCCAAGTACCCAGCCTCTACAATTCAGATTCTCGGGGCGGAGAAGGTGAGGCCGAGGATGCAGAGTTGGGCGGCTGCTGCGGCTCTTAGCCTCTGCAAAGGGATGTAAAAGGCTATAGAGATGCATTTAAATTCATAATTGTTTGCCTTGAACAGGCTGGGGTGCGCAATCAAGTTCATTTGCATGCGCTTGTGCTAATTTCCGTCTTACATGGTGCCAAAAGACAGTACATATTTCGCGTGGCCGTTTGCGTTTATTGGCGGAGTCGTGCCATTGTAAATGCCTCGTTGGATTGCTGCATAATACAGCAAAACTGTTTATTTTTATTCTCATTTTGGGATTTTGCTGCCTAATTCCGTCTTGTGCTTCAGGCTTTATTCAGAGCCTTAAAGGCACGCAGCGGCCGCACCCCCAAATACGGTCTTTTATTCCACTCCTCTTTTATTGGCAGAGTGCAGCAGCAGAAGCACAGAGGCAGAATGAGCAGGTGGGCCTTCCTGGGGGATATATAAAGACATCTGCAGGAACTCGCAGCCAGCTGGATGGCGTGCGTGCTGCTGCTTCCGCTGCTGCTGCTGCTGCTCTGTTCCTTCTTTCTTCTGGTTAGCCCTTAAAATGGAGTCAAATACCATTTATTTTAAATATTTATTTCCCACGGGAAGCTTTTGATGTTTGCTTTCAGGTATCTGGCCTCCAAGTGCGCCCTGGCCGCCCGCATTGATGCCTTCAGCGATGAAGCAGATCAGCCAGCTGGGGACCAGCCGCGGCAGCATGTCTTTGGCGACAAACTGAGAGAGCAGCTTGAAGAAAGGCTCAAGTATGTTGCTGCTACATTCCCTGCTGCTGCACGAGCCGCTAGGTTTGCTGCAGCAGAGGGCTGCTGTATTCCCTGCTGCTGTTCGAGCCGCTAGGTTTGCTGTAGCAGAGGGCTGCTGCATTCCCTGCTGCTGCTCGAGCCGCTAGGTTTGCTGCAGCAGAGGGCTGCTGCATTCCCTGCTGCTGCTCGAGCCGCTAGGTTTGCTGCAGCAGAGGGCTGCTCAATTCTGTGCTGCTGCTCGAGCCGCCAGGTTTGCTGCAGCGGAGGGGCGGCTGGCTTGAGAATGCCAACTTGCTGCTTGAGTTCGTTTTAACGCGTTTCCTTGGTGCTGCTGTTGCTGCTGCTACTGCTGCTGCTGCTGCTCAGATACTTGTCCGACGGCATAGTGCCTCGAAAGAACCTGGATGTGATGAGGGAGGCAGCAGCAGAAGTGGAATCCCAACGCGCTGCTGAGGCGAAGGCTCTGAAGAAGGCCAAAAAGAAGAAGGCCAAAGAAGAAGCAGCAGCAGCAGCAGCAGCAGCAGCGGAGAATGGGGAAGAGGCCGAGGAAGAGGAAGTGCCGAAGAAGAAAAAGAGGCATGCAGAGCAAGAAGCTGTGGAGGCTGAGGCGGCAGAGCCGGCGGTAGAAATTAAGAAAAAGAAAAAGCACAAGAAGCATGCAGAAGTAGAAGCAGCAGCCTAAGGAGAGCCAAAGAAATAGAAATTGGGCGAGAAAAAGGGAGACCCACAAGAGAGGGAAGAATGTAATAAATAGAAACGCGAGGAAGCTGAGTACTTAAGCACATGCATGCATCGAGAAGTTCATTCAAGCCACGAGTTGCGAGGCAAGGCGAAGCCGTGAAGGTGTTATCATTTGTTTTTGGTCTTTTCTCTGATGAATGAAAAGCTGAAAGAGAAGAAGTGGGACGCATGCAGCGAGCTCAATGCAGAAAGCAACTGCAACAGGTGCTGCAGCGCTTCCCAGCAGCGGCTGCTGCAGCAGTTCACGCCCGCAGCAGCTGCGCCTGCCGAAGCATTCGGCTGCAACGGTTTGCTGCGGCGTCTTTTTGCTGCTCGGGGCAAGCCTTAACTCTTTTTGTTTGCGTAAATTGTCTACGCTAAAGCGGTGCATGCGCAGTGCATGCTGCGTAAATTGCGTACGCTCAAGAGATGCATGCATGCGTAATAGTGCATGCATGCATGCAACCAGTGCACTGAGTTCTAGGCTAGCTAGGCCCCCGCAGAGCAGCATAGTGAGCAGAGCCAGGCCCAAATACTTCCAGGCTTGCCCAGACTATTGTTGAGAGCACAAGAGCTGCAGATTCTGTGGATTCCCGGTGTACAGGGAGCTGAGTGCAGTGACTACGGCGAAGGTGTCGTTTCCCACGCATTTCCATGAACAGTTAACACTTGAGAATATATGCTGGTGGCGTAATTTGTTTAAATGTATTTTGAATACTGTTTGTTGAAGCAAAGGGCGACGACCCCGTCGGTGTTCACCGGCTGGAACACCTGAGACAAGTGGTGTGGGTGCTGCAGCTGCTGCTGCTGTTCGCTGCTGGCGTGTTCGTGCTGCTCCCTGCATGCATGCGTTGCATCCGCTAAGGTAACTTGTCCGTTGGCTACTTGCTCCTCAGAACCTACATTGTCACCGTCACGCCGACCTCAAGAATAGCTTGCCGCGCCGCGGCGCGGCTTGTGTCCAGACGATGCTGCGTGCTGCAGTTGCTGCTGCTGTTGCTGCTGCAGCAGCACTGCAACCCACGCAGCCCCAGCAGCCCTCGCTGCTGCCGCCCCCTCGGCAAGCCTCCAGCCACTCGTGCTGAGTGCCGCTCTAGCCTCGCCGCAGCAACTTAGCAGCTGCTGGCAGCAGCTAATTTCCCTCCCCGCCAAGCGCCCGGAGTCACAGCTCGCCTGCGACCGGCTAGCAGCTAGCTATCGCTAGGATCCGGGGCCCCATGCAATTGCTACCTCACGGCTAGCTAGCCAGCTCGGGAGCCAGCTAGCTAGCTAGCTAGCTGGCAAGCCGGCTGGTGCTCACGCAGAGCAAGCAGCTATGGCGTTGCAACAAGAGCTCGCCGCAGCGGTGCATGCATGCAAATGCAAGCGAGGATGCACACACAATAGGGGATGGGCGGTGCTGAGGGAAGGCTCCAGCAGCCTAGAATGGACTAAATTTCGTTGACACTTTTGCTGTCACAGCACTTCCCTCTTGAGCACAGAGTTACGCAGCAGCGCGGCAAGCAGTCGCACAGACACTACCAACCCGCCGAGGTGGCTAGCTGGGCAAAACTAGCTAGCTAGCTAGCTCAGTAGCTAGCTTGCTGCACTTGCAATGGAGAGGGGGGCCCCTTCCAGGGGCCCCCGCCACCCCCATGTTGACACTTCCCCCTAGCCAAGAGGGCGGCGGCCCGAGATGGGGGCCCCCGTCTTCCCTTGCGTAAGCGTCGCGTAACTGTTGGTGCTGCTTTACTTGTTAATTCCCTTTTTCTTTTCCACAGGCTTCAATATCTACGGGCAAAGACAGCGAGCAAGCAGCAGTCAACACGCAGAGCCGGAGCTGCATGCAAGCACCACTGTTTGCATGCAAGCACCACTGTTTGCATGCAAACACAAACAAAACCAACACTAACTCAGAAAAAGACAGGCCCACCTGAAATGAGCACATCAGAGTCTCGTCAACGGACATCATCGCGCCCGCGTTGTCAAATTCACCACAGTAATTTGGGGCGCTGAACAGAGTCACCAGTTGCCTCTTGGCAAAGAACTCGTAGCCATCCTCCACAACCTGCAACAAAAAATGATGTTTAAGAGCCCTATTCTGAAAACTGACCCCTCAAGTGGCTCTAATTGTGACTCTAATTAAACCCTGAAACCCGGAAATACCGCAACAGGACCAGCTGGAGGCCCAACTTGCAAAGCGACGCACATAATGCATGCAAAACAGACAAAACATGACAGATTGGCGCGAAAAACAGAAAAATAGATTGAGCAATAAAATGGAAAATCTGGCATAACAATTAAGAACAAGAAGAGCACCAATAGAGGAAGCAAAAGCACTTGCTCCTCAAGAGCAGAAACGACACAAAATAGCAGTTGCATGCGCGTCTGGTAGCAGCAAATATGCAGTGAAAACAGCAAAGGAACACAGAGGAGCAAAACCGAGACAAGAAATGGTGATTAGCACTGCCACCATCGCCATGGTACTAAGCATACATGGAGCAGCAGCAGCAGGCAGCAGCAGCAGCAGCAGCAATCGCAGTGACTTATTGTGGTAATAAATTTAATTCAAAGCCACACCTGATGAGCGCGGCAGATAAGGTCTAGGTCGTGCTTCCGTAAGAAGTTGTGAACAACGTCTTGGCCGAAAGTAAACGAAACCCCTCTGTCGTTTTCTCCCCACCCCGCTATTTCCTTTTCAGGATCCGACCACAGCAGGTCACACAAAAGGCCTGGAAAACAGCGAAAAGAGAAGAAAGAAGTTCAGATAAAAGGCAAAATACTTCAAGTGCCCACAACCATGGCTAGGTGCGCTCCGTCACCTTCGCAAGGGCATTTACAGAGGAACACAACGAAGCGCAGAAGAAACGCATGCAAATAAACTAAAATCGACCCCCTCTTCACTACGTTTCACAGGGAACAGAATTACATCAAACACAAAGCACTGACGACTATTCTAGCTTTCTGTTGATCAAGGAGCAGCTGCTGGCTCTCCTCCGCGTCCCCCAGAAGCCGCTCTACTCATCCCCAACATTGTGAAATGCATTTAAAAGGTCAAATTCACAATTTTTGCAATCCAAAAAAAGCAAAACAGCAATAAGTCGCGGACTACTGCTTACCCGTATCGGGTACGTCTGTTGGGCGCACTATGCGCCTGACTTGGTCCATAGAGTTAAGTTCTGGCGAGAGCCCGCCGTGCATACAAAGGATCTTTTCGTCTATTATAGCTGCGACTGGAAGACAGTTAAAACAATCCGTAAAAGTCTTCCACAGCTTTACGTTGTACCGCCTTTTGCCTGAGCGCACAGAGCCATTCAGATAAAGTGCGGCAAACCTAAATTCAAACTGCCAGGCTTTCTCGGCCAAATGCCCTTCACTGCAAAAGCTCTCCAGCTGTTCGCTTGTGCGCCTCAGAGAAATCCCGAAAAGCAGCCACACAGTGCATGCGCAACAAGAAGACTACAGCTTCTGGAGGATGTGCAAGGGAGTCTACAGAAACTAGAAAAGCGCATGTAAGGCTGCCCGTACAAGCAGCTGCAGCCCCATGGGACAAAAGGGAACACGAATTTGAACAGACTGCAGGGAAAAGCATGAATTAACAGCCCCAAGAAAGCAGAAAGAAGTGCAGCCCGCGCAAGGAAAGGCGCAGCGGCAGCTGGACCACCTCAGCTGCCTCCGAGGCGCCGCCAGGCGCAGCAAAGTGTCAGACAGCAGCAGGAGAGCCGGAAAGAAGAAGTTAAGGGAATTTGGGGCTGAGTGGTGCATGCGGAGACGTACATTCGTCGTAGAAGCCGTAGATGCGGTTGATGGAGGCGCACTCGTGGTTGCCTCTGAGGAGGAAGAAGTTCTCGGGGTACTTGATCTTGTAAGCCAGCAGAAGACAGATAGTTTCGAGGCTCTGTTTGCCTCTGTCGACGTAATCGCCGAGGAAAAGGTAGTTGGCCTCGGGGGGGAAGCCGCCGTACTCGAAGAGGCGCAGCAAGTCGTAGTACTGGCCGTGGATGTCGCCGCAGATCTTAATTGGGGCCTCGAGTTCTAAGAGAATCGGCTGGGCTATAAATATCTCGCGGGACTTCTGGCATAATCCCCTTATTTCTGCTTCGGTGAGCTGCACGGGCTTTCCCGGGCGGCTGCCGCGGACCTCCAGCAGCTTGCTGATCACCGCGTCCACGTCGACGTCCGTTGCTGCTGCCATTGCTGCGGAAGCTCGAAAGAAAAAGAAATAAACGGCAAAAACGAACAAGTCCGAAAAGGAAAAGAAGACGGCCCAGCTCGCGCTGCCCCCGAGAAGCCAGCGGCCTCAGCTGAAGCACCAGAGCCGCGGGCTGGCTTTCCGGCTCCGGCGAGAAAGCAGCGGCTGACGCGGAAACACAGCAGCAGCAGCAGCAGCAGCAGCGCCAGCAGCAGCAAAGTGGCTCCCAGTCCCAGCTGCCTGGCCCAGACTACCCCAGCAGACAGTCAGCAGCTCCGAACCAAAAGCCTGCTGCCTCTGTCGGGCATATCACGAGAAAAAGAAGCGGCGCTGCAGCAACGGCGCTGCTGCTGCTGCTGCACAGTGCGTACAAGTGCGCCCACTTTTCGCGCATGCGGTGAGCCCTCTGCGGCCGGCGCTCGTTGCTGCTGCTTGCTGCTGCGTGCTGCTGCTTGCTGCGGCTGGCTGCTGCTGCTGGCCGTGGGCGTTCTTTGCTGCGCGGCTCCGGGCCTCCTGCACGGCGCGGCCACTCTGCTGCTGCTGCCTCGAAGAGCCCCTTCCAAGGCTCCGCAGGCGACAGAAGAGAAACTCTGCAGGGCTACGGGTCCGCAGAGGAGGGCTGGGCACTGCTGAATGCGCTGCGGAGTTGCATGCGTTTGCAAAACACTGAAGAAGCTGAACAGCCGGAGCTGCTTGCTTCCTGAGCAAGCTGAGCTGTACCTACCGAGGGGAGTCCGCAACTGGCACGGCAAGTCAAGTGCTTCAGCAGTTGACTCGACTGCCGCGGGAAT